AATCAGCGTTGAAAACCTAGGAAAACCCTAGTAGAAACCGCAAAAACCCTAGAGAGATTCTAGAGAGAAATTATAACCCTAGTTTGTAACAATATGATTCTATCAGTTCTGCAACATTGCAATTTTTTTTATTTAAAACAAAAACTACTGATTATGAAAATAAAATTTTTAATATCAAAATATTGAAATTATATACGGAAAAGGGTCAAATAGGCTCTCAAACTTTTACTAAAAGTCAATCAACTCTTTCAATTTTTTAAAAGTGCAATTACAACTATTAACAATGCATTTTGATGCAATGAAGTCCAAATACAGATAAATAACCTACTATCACAGGTTATTGAGATCCGACCACCTTCCGACATTAATTTCAAACAAAAAGTCACGGAGAAAGCAACCACTGGATCGCCTTCTCCGGTGAGAAGGTGACCCAAATATGCGCTGCCTTCTCCGGTTGAGAAGGCGACCACTATGGATTGCCTTCTCTGTGTGTCCAGGATTCTTGAAATAATGATTGATCCAAATATCAATATGGGTATAAAGTGCGGCCCAAATTTAGAAGCCCAATAAGACCAAGATACAGAGGGCAAATTATGCTATGCACACTGTTTTATGTTCATAATTACTGAATTATATGTTCATAATTATAAAGCTATATATTTATAATTACTGAATTCTATATTCACAATTACAAAATTTTATGTTCATATTCCCAATTGTTGAACTCTGTATTCACAAATCACAGAACTATATGTTCATAATTTGATAATTATACAGTTTAGAAATTATGAATATACAGTACATATATTATAAATCTGCAGTATAGAAATTATGAATCTACTATATATAAATTATGAATCTACTGTATTTAAATTATGAATCAACGGTTTAGAAATTATGAATCTATAGTATAGATTTTATGAATCTACAGTATAGAAATTATGAATCTATAGTATAGAAATTATGAATCTATAATATAGAAATTATGATTCTATAGTATAGAAATTATGAATTGGAACCGTGTGCATCTTGCACTGCATAACGTTCCGATACAGAGTTGCCAAGGACAGTTATACCGTGGATCCAGATCCAAAATACACAATTTACATACTGAATATTCACAATTTACATACTAAATGTTTACAATTTGAATTGTGATGAACATTTAGTATGTAAATTGTGTATGTAATTATGGATATTTAGTATGTAAATTGTGAACATTTAATATGTAAATTGTGAACATTCAGTATGTTAATTGTGTAATTTGGACCCGGGTCCAAACACACAATTTACATACTGAATGTTCACAATTTACATACTAAATGTTTACAATTTGAATTGTGATGAACATTTTGTATGTAAATTGTGTACGTAAATCATGAATATTTAATATGTATATTGTGAACATTCAGTATGTTAATTGTGTAAGGTGGACCCGAGTCCACAGAATAATTTGCCAGTTGCCACTGCAACACAATAATCGAGCGGTCATGTTGATTTTATCAATCTAATTATTTTGTTAATTGATTCTTAGGCCGTATCCAAGGAAGACGCTAAACGCATAAATAGCTTAAGATTTGGCGCTGAATCGTCTCCAATAAAGGCGCCAAATCTTACGCCATTTTGGCAGTTGTGTACAGTGCAGCACCATATATACTGTAGAGGAACGCCATTTTGGTGTAAGGTTTTTTATTCTTTTTTTTTCCCTTAATTTTTTTGTTAATTCCTTTTGTATCCTTATTTTATTTTTATTTATTTACCTATATTGTTAAATACTTTAACATAAAATTTGAATAATTAAAAATAAAATATACCATCTGAAAGATCTCATCAATACGATTAAAACAAGACTAATATTATATATAGATTAATTAAAACTAAAGTACATAAAACATAATTTTCACTTCATAAATGACAAAGAAGCTCATTATGCACTTCGTAATATATTGATTGAGCATATGTGAGAATGATATGGTAATTTTGACAATTAAATGTAATAGTTGCTATATGTTATATTATTGTGGAATAAAAATATTATTTGCATTACAATTAAATTTTATATCAAAAAAATTAAAGTAAAAAAATTAAAGTTTTAATTTATGAGAAAATAAATTATTTTAGTGTAGAAATAATATTTGGTGTTGAATTTGGTGTAATGGGTCCTTTTGGTGTAAAATTTGGTGCAAAATTTGGTGTTTTGGTATAAGAATATGCTAAGAAAATTACTTGTATAAATAGTAGTTTAATCTACAATCTACAAATCTAATAAGAGGCAATAATGTTATGCCCTTATCCGGAACAAAAAAAATGTTGGTGTAATTGTTCCTTAAAATGAATGGTTCATATTATTTTAATTTTAATATTTTTTAATGATTTTCCTTATTTACCCTCTATTATATTATTTTCTTTCCTTAAATAACCCTAAATTCCGTTAGTATAAACTTTAGTAACGGAATATTGCGTTAACTATTTATTATTCTTAACTTACTTATTAATTTGTATAAGAAAGATCTTAGGTTCGAACCCCATCCTAATTAGAGTTGGTATAATTGTTAAACATATACTATGAATATGTTAAAATGTATATATATATATATATATATATATATATATATATATATATATATATATATATATATAGGGAAGGGTTCAGGTGTGGGTATAGCTTCCCGTGCGGTTGTGCAGTTAGATCTGAGCCGTTGATCAAATTTAGATTAACGGATCAAATCAATGAAAATTAAAAAAAAAACGCGTGTCTGGAAGAAAGAAGCATAAGCTAAAAATGGCGCACCTTAAGTGTTAGATCTTAAGTACAAACTCACGCACATTAAGTACAAAATCCACACACATTAAGCACACAACCTCACACACATTAAGCACAAAACCCACGCACTTTAAATATTAACTCACACACTTTAAGTTTCAACAACTACTGACATCAAGCACAAACTCACGCACATTAAGTACAAAACTCATGCACATTAAGCACAATGTCACGCACATTAAGTACAAAACCCACGCACTTTAAGTATTAACTCACAGACTTTAAGATTTAACAATTACTCACATTAAGCACAACTCCACGCACATTAAGCACAAACCTCACGCACTTTACGTACAAAACTCATGCATCTTATATACAAAACTCACGCACATTAATCACAGATCCGCTCACCTTAATTTTGACCTAGATGCAAAAATTACAAAATTGCCACTGCATTTTTTTTTAAAAAATTTTGGTAAACCTGGACATTGATTTAAGCGAGATGAATGACCCAGATTAAATCGCACCTGGGCACCCTAACCGCAAGAGAACCTAATTCCATATATATAATATATAATATAATATAATATATTTTGTAGTATGATACACACAAAGAACCAATAACGCCTCCACTGAGGCTCGAACTCACAATCTTTCAAATGAAAGTCCAACCCAGATACCATTAGACCACATAATCCAGGTAATATAATATAATATAATATAATATAATATAAAATTTAACATAAACTTTGGTCAAATAATTAACCCAACTAAACACATAGCATTCAAAGTTGAGCATCAAAGATTATAAATTAGGAACTTCAAAAGTTATTTGATTTTCTTGCATTTTATTTATAAAAAAAAAAACAAATTTAGGTTAAGTTTTTTTTTTTTTTTTTTTCGTTTAATTAATTTTATTTTGATTATTTAGAACAAAACTTAATATTTCGATTATGCTTTTGTATTATTGGAATGATTTAGGTCATTATGATATTAATATTTTTTGTATGTATTTTTATAATGGTACAATTGTATATTACTTTACAAATATTATGCTATGAACCAAGGATCTTATGGTCCACTGGTACTAAGTTGCTCCCCTATGTGGTAGGTGGTGGGTTTGAGCCTTGTTGGAGGTGATTATAGTGACATCTGATGTAGTAACTTGTATATGTAAGTATCCCCCTTCCCTTATATTTAAATATTACGGAGTATTTTTTTTAATCGGACAAAATTGTTCTTACATCGTTGTCAGAACTGCGCGACCTAACTACAAAGTTGTTGATCATAAATACAATTACATGGTAGGACCATTTTCCAAAGAATGGACAATGTTAACATCCCACTGGCTCCAATTGAACAGGTTTACACATCAAATTTTATCAACGTATAAAAACTTCTAAGGAAATTTGTAAGTTAATTTTTACTATATCATTATAACAATATCTATTGTAACCATATATTTTGAATTATTTATTATCATCATCTATTGACATGAATTGTAGCAATTGTCATTGACAAACTCTCAAAACAATTTGTCTCAACAACGAATGAAAATTAAAAAAAAAAATCAATGATTTCATTATTGTTGATGAAAAGTATGTACACCACTTTATTACTCTTATTAAATTAAATAAATTAGTAGCTACAAAAAAAAATAATGCATATACATTTAATTAATTTATATTAGATGTCTATATTGCTTTTATTTTAAAAAATTATTCATTATAAAAAATTTAAAAAGAGATATAATTCCATTAGTTATATAATCTTTATTTTCTACAATTCAAAGATTCATTACCTTCAAATTTATTAATTTATTATATTCACTACATTGTTCATTACCTTCTTTTTACATTATCTTGTAATTAAATATCAGTTATAATACAAAATATGTTATATATATTTATTTACCAAGTATTTTATAAAAATATAATAAATATTAATATTTTGTTCAATACTATCACATGATAACCTACGACACACATCTTACAACACATAAAACATGTAGGGTGACAAAGTATGCTGACAAGATGAAGACTATAGCCTAAGGGCTTTCTTGTAAATATGCTATTAACTACCAAACTACCCAAGCTGTAAATATATAAATGTAGACTTCTGAACTGAATGCAGTTATCACTTTCATTTCTTTCATTCTGCTTGCAATCCTCTCTTCATGTCTTTGCTCCTTGCTCCCCATTCCAGCTGCATAGCAGGCATTCTCTAAGATTTCATCATGGTATTAGAGCACCTTCGAAGCTATGTAGCAGCCGTCATGATGAACACAGTAGCCGGTGAAGGAAATTCAGCAAATCCTATGAATCAAAGTCCGATCCAGCGCAACGAGGAGTTCGATGATCCACTTTACTTGCATTTCACTGAGAATGGAAACACAGTTCTAGTCTCTCCTCCCTTGTCCGAAGTTAACTATGCTTCATGGAGCAAATCCATGAAGATAGCTCTTGAAATCAAGAACAAATTTGGCTTCGTTGGTTGAAGCATACCAAATCCAGGAGAGTTAGATCCTAGATACACTATTTGGAAGAGATGTAACATAATTGTGTGTTCATGGATTCTGAAATCAGTCAATTCCACCATTGCGGAGAGTATGATCTACTTCGACAAAGCATCAAACATCTGGAGTGCACTCAGCAAGAGGTATTCGCAAGCTGATCTTCACAAGATTACTGAACTTCAGAACGAGATCTTCAGGAATGTGCAAGGTAATATGAATCTTAATGAGTGTTTTACAAAATGTAATGCACTTTGGGAACAAATGAATGCTATGAGACCATTGCCTACCTGTGAATGTACTCCTAGATGCTCATGTACTTTGATAAGTAAGATACAGAAAGAGAAACAGGATGACCAGATTATTAGATTCCTAGAGGGGTTGAATGATGAGTTTGAGTCAATAAAGGCAGGAGTTCTAGTCATGGATCCAATTCCAACTATGGAAAAGGTTCTTAACATGACACTAAAGATAGAAAGGAAACTCAAGGCAGTCACCAATCAAAAGAATGTTGAGATAGTTCAGGCAAATTCTGGGCAGACTAACCAAAACCAGTCTGCAGATGAACAAGGAATCATAGTCTTTTCAGCTTTAAATAACAAGAAGAAATTCAATAACAGTGGGGGGAGAAACATACCTAAATGTACATATTGTAGTATGATTAGTCACACAGTTGAAAAATGCTACAAGAAGTATGACTATCCTCTAGGCTGGGTGGCAGGTTATAAATCCAGAAACAAACAGGGTCCAGATTCTGCTAGTCCTTCTGTGAACCATGTTGGAGATATAGGGATGACTGCAGATCAATTTTAGAGACTAGTGACTTTATTACAGAGCCAAGGTCGAGGGAATCATCCATCCAGTGCTGCAATCACCATGAACAATACTGGAATGAGATCAGATTTCAGAAACAATTCTGAGGAGATCAATGAATGCAGGTTTATCTCTAATTTCATGTAAATAATGCTGAGAATTCTATATGGATCCTAAACTCTAGTGCAACAGAACACATTGCATGTTCTCTTGACTATTTTGAAAATTATTATAGAGTTCATGGAATATCTGTCAAACTGCCCAATGGGGAGAATGTGAACGTTACATACATAGGAGACATTAGACTACACTCAAGTCTATTATTGAAGAATGTGTTATATATCCCTTCATTCACATTCAATATTATTTCTGCTAGCAAATTAGCAAAGCAAGGATTATGCAAAATTATCATGAATACCGATTCTTGTGCCTTTCAGGGTCCTCATGGGATAATGGATAGTTTTGCTAAGGAGAAGAATGGATTGTACCTGATCACTCACCCCCCTACCAAAAAGGAAGAATAATCTGTCTGTTAGAATATTTGATTGTAATAGTTTGTCTATAGAATTGTGGCATTGTAGACTAGGACACTATCCTGTCAATAAAATACATCTCTTGAATGGAATAAAAGATGCACAATTCTCTAATAATTCGGAATTTATCTGTGATGCATGCCACTTTGCTAAGCATAAGAGGTCTGTTTTCCCTGTTCAGTAATTCTAGGGCTGCAAGTTGTTTGAGTTGATACATATGGATGTTTGGGGTCCTTTTGCAGTTGCCTCTCTAAAAGGTGAACACTACTTCTTGACAATAGTTGATGATCACAGTAGGTTCACATGGCTTCACTTAATGAGGACTAAAACAGAAGTTAAGAGCCTATTCCAAAGTTTCTATAACTATGTTGAAACTCAGTTCTCTACAAAAATCAAAATCATAAGGACAGACAATGGTACTGAATTCTATATGAATAATTTTTGCAGTGAGAAAGGAATTATACATCAAAGTCTTGTGTATATACACCTCAGCAAAATGGCATTGCAGAAAGAAAGCAACATCATATTCTGAATATAGCTAGGGCACTTAGATTTCAATCTGGTTTGCCTATGGAATTCTGGGGCCACTGTGTTCTACATGCCTCCTTTTTAATCAACAGGTTTCCTACAACCAAGATTGGTGATAAAAACCCCTTTGAGACATTATTTGGAAAGAATGTGAATTATGACCAGCTTAAGGCCTTTGGATGTCTATGCTATGGCTCCACTATCTCATAAGGAAGAAATCAAATGCAATCCAGAGCCAGAAAGTGCATTTTGTTGGGATTCCATGCAAATGTGAAAGGTTACATTCTATATGATTTGATTAATAAACATGTGTTCATTTCAAGAGATGTCCAGTTTTATGAGCAGATCCCTTGGAAGAGAACCATTCAACAGACAGCTCAAGAGCTCCTGAAATTGAGGTGTCTAATCCTACATTGCCTCTAGGCCTTATTACCACTGAGATAGGGATCAATGTAGATATGGAAAGGGGCAACAACACCACACCTCATAATGTTGAGACCTTAGCTGATGATCACATGAGCAGTGGGATGGGATATGTAGTCCAGAATAATCCAATCCCGGAGTCTGCTGAAAATGAGACAGAAGAAACTGCTGAAGGGCTTGCTCAGGATATTGTTGAAGAACCTGTTCATGTGCAACTTAGAAGGTCAGAAAGGGCAAGAACTATTCCTACTAAACTTCAGGATTATCATTATCATGCAATCAACAAATCTCAGGTCAGAACCATGGTTGCAGTAGGCGCTAGGCGCTAGTCGGGCGGCCGGGCAGCGCCTAGCGCCTAGGCGGTCTAGGCGGATTCTAGGCGGCGCTAGGCGGGCACCAAAAAAATTAAAAAAAATAGTAACAGACTTGTAGTTCGACAATTTTAATGAGGTTGTTTTCAACGTTCACTCAAATAACACATCTAAATAAATGAAATAATGATAATTTATAAGTCATAATGTCATAATAATATTAAAATCAATAATTAATGAAAGACGACATCGGTCAAAATCGGTCAAAAACGGTCAAAATCGGACAAAATCGGTCGACTCGGCCGAGTTGGCCGAGTTGACCGACTCGGCCGAGTTGGCCGAGTTTGGCCGCCCAGGCCGCCTAGCAGCTGCCCAGGCCGCCTAGGCGGCCGGCCGAGTTTTGGCCAAAACTCCAAGGCTCGGGGTCGCCTAGCGCCTAGGCGGCTAGGCGGCCGAGTTTTGCAACCTTGGTCAGAACATCTCCACATTCCATTAACAAGTTCATATCCTATGAATACTTGCCTCCTGGTCATGTAGCTTGTGCCTCTTCTATTTTGTCCACACATGAGCCTCAATCTTACAATGAGGCAGTAAAAGAAGAAGTATGGAGAAAAGCTATGCAATCTGAGATAGAAACACTGGTTGAGAACAAGACTTGGGTTTTGATAGATCTGTCAACAGGGAAAACACCAATTGGGTGTAAGTGGGTATTCAAGGTGAAACATAGGGCAGATGGATCCATAGAAAGACATAAGGCCAGGTTAGTTGCCAAGGGCTACACTCAACAGCTAGGGGTGGACTACATTGAGACATTTTCTCCTGTGGCTAGAATGACAACTGTTGGTCCCAAAAGAGGTAAGGTGAAAGTCTAGAGGGGGGGGGGGGGGGGGGTGAATAGAATTTCAAGTTTTTTCGCACAACACAACAATTGCTAAAGCATAGAGAAACCAAAACTCTTAACTAGATTGTTAGAGTATGGTACGCAGCGGAAATAAATAAAGATAAGTGTATGTGAGATTGTGTCAAGTATATCTCGTGTGAAGCAAGTAAAGAGTAGTAAGTAAAGAAATTAGTAAAGAACACAAGACAATTATAGTGGTTCGGAGGTGGTGTAATCCTCCTACTCCACTTGCTCTTATCTCCAAGAGTAATTCACTATATCCACCACTTCTTGGTTCCAAGATACAATGAATTCCGTGATCTAGTGCTTTGATCACAATGCCCACACTAATCACGCCCAGTGACACCACACTGCTGCTTCGGGTTTCACGTCACCGCACTACTTTCCCAGGATTTCACGACTCCGCGTTACTCTCTCCCGTCTTCTACGCTCCGGAAGAAACGCTCTTCCGTGATCTAGTGCTTTGATCACAAAACCCGTACTAATCACGCCCAGTGTCTCCAACACTGCTGCTTCGGATCTCACAGCTCCGTGTGACAATCCAGGATTTCATAGCTCCGTGCTACTTTCCTCCCTTCCTACACTCCCGTAGGAATATCACTTGTTCAAAGACAAGTTTTCTTCTTGCTTCCAACTTCTGAGACTCTGTAGATGATCTTCAATATGATGCAGGTCTCTTGATGATGAAGATTTAACACTCTTGAGTGATTTCTCGTGAAAGCTCTGTATCTCTGAGTGTTTTTCTCTCTTTGAAAGTATCAAGTAAATCACTTGATTTTTATGCTCTGTTTAGCTCTACTTTTAGAACTCTCTGAATATTTCTCTTTAAGCTCTCTGAGTTCTTTTTCTTTTCTCACTTGAAGATTTCTTTTGGTATGCTCTGTACCAATTGAAACTCTTGCTCTTGAATTCGTTACTCTCTTGTGCTCTGTCTTCAAGTCTTCATATCTTCATCCTTTTATAGCTGGTAATGAGAATCTGCCCCTTGGAAAGAGACGATCTCATTTTTGAATTCTTGTACCTTTTGTCAGAGATCTTATCTTATCTTCTGGCAAAGTGTCAGAAAAGATAATCTAGCCGTTTGTAGAGCTTCAACTTCATGCAAATGAGTTCCCAAACTTCATCTGATATTCCTCTGGTGTTTTCACGTTTCTTGGGAATATCTGGGTCTCAGTTTTATGTAGAACGGCTTCTCTGATCAGCTCTGTAGTGGTTCTTGTTTCTTTGGGATTTAAATGCTTCAAAAATATTCTCCAATTTAATCACATACTAGTTAGACTAGTATTTTTCCTTCTGAGAATTTCTTCACTGTAAGTTTTCTTCATCTTCTTCATTCTCACGTCTGGGTGTTCTCATGTTTCAAACTGGCTTTGAACTTCCTCCCAATTTGAATTTCTCCTTTGTAATTGACACCCAATTGCAATTGACTTGTAATTGACACCCAATTTGAATTTCTCCATTGTAATTGGCACCCAATTGACTTTGACTTGTAATTGGCACCCAAACTTCCCCTGGTGCTTCAATTGCTTCCCAATTTGAATTACTTTAACCTTGACTTCGAAATTGGCTTCCAGACTTCTCATGGTTTTGAATTTCATCTCAATTCAATTTGCTTCCCAACGTCTTCTTTGAATCGGTCCCCAATTTGAAATTGCATCCCATACTACAACTTGAATTGGCTACCAATTTCAATTTTGCATTGGCTCCCAACTTGAATTGATTCCCATGTGAAACTAGCTCCCAATTTCAATTGCTTTGAAATCGGCTCCCAATTCCTTTGAATTGGCTCCCAAGTGCAATTGCTTCTCTATTGCCACCCAAGTGAATTGCTTCCCAATTCCCACTTGTAATTGACGCCCAAAGCCAAATTGAATTGATTCCCATGTGAAACTAGCTCCCAATTTCAATTGCTTTGAAATCGGCTCCCAATTCAAAGAATTGGCTCCCAAGTGCAATTGCTTCTCTATTGCCACCCAAGTGAAATTGCTTCCCAATTCCCACTTGTAATTGACGCCCAAAAGCCACCCAAGTGAAATTGCTTCCCAATTCCCACTTGTAATTGATGCCCAAAGCCAAACTAGCGCCCAACTCCATCGTCCAAACTGTCTACTGGTTATATTTCCAATCATCTTTGATGTACTCCTTTCTTTCCATATATGCTTGATCTCCAAGACAATTTCATGCAAACCTCAAATCTTAATTTTCTTTCACGAAAATTCTTCTGTGAATTCTTTCTGAGTAGTAGCGACGTGAAACTCTTATCATTCATCTTCTTCTTCAATTTGTCATTTTCACCAGACAAAT